AGGGGAGTGGGTAGAAATAGCATCAACAGGATCATAGCTGATTGGACAACAAGTGTACACCTCAGATGAAGTAGGCCAACTAGATTTTTTCACCCTTAAGTTAAACAAAAAACCAGTTGTCTCTGGGTCCAAAAATACCTTCACTGCATGTTTTGTAGATGCCAATAAATATAATTTAGAAGAATTAGAATTATATTTAGAATTCTTAGAATTCCAGGGTTACACAGCTGAATGATTTCCACGCAGCTTTAGATGCTTAACACATATGTAACCAGTTTAAGCGATATGAAGACATGGATCCAATGACCCCAATCATGAAGAAGAAAGAGCAGTGAGAAGAGTGGGAAATGGGGGCATTAGGGTCTCTACAAACCTAGTACGTGGCACATATCAGTGCACATTTGGTCTTCCAGCTCTTGTTGAAACCCAAGGCTCAAGGGATCGAAACCAAAATAAACAAGTAGAATTGAAATAGAACTTCAGCTGGCAAAACAGCCATCTCTAAATAGAATCTGATATCTACAAGCATGTGTAACAGTCCAGTGCCTCAGTGGAAGCTTGCACTCAAGTGTGCTTGTCAGGGCAGTGCCAGGGAGCCTCCATGCCACACGGCCTCACACTCTATGATAAACATGCCCATTACTTGGGCTAGGGTGATGTGCCTTCCAGATCCAGCTCTTTCTTGTCCTTTTTCTCATACAGGATCAACACTGACAAAGCACTTTTGTGAAGGTTGGATAAACCTGAACGAGACTAGCCCCCTCCCATCTCCCCCAGAACCCTGCCCCCCAACCCAAACACACACACTCCTACATCCAGAGCAAGACTTCTTTACTTGCAATCCATGGAGAGAATTCAGGGGTCACACACTTGGATAGCGAAATGGGGTGTGTGTGTGTGTGTGTGTGTGTGTGTGTGTGTGTGTGTGTGTGTGTGTGCGTGAATCAACCTCTAACTAGCTTTTCCTTCTATCTAAATGTGGGTAACAATCCCTAACTTCACCAGGTGGAACCAGGTGGTTTCTTATCTCCACTGTGGCAGGCAACTCCAAGATAGTGTAATGGGCACTTTGAAGTTAAGACCTGCCTCCATATCACTCTTTATCTTACAGTGAAGTACATGCAATCAAATGTCACTTAATGATGAACCCCATATATGACTGTGACCCCGCCATAGGTTGTAAAATGTGAATTCACAAAATAAAATGTGGGGGCTGCTGCAGCAACATGTACATTCTGTGGCCCAGAGAAGGAGGGTGGGTTGGGCGGAGGACTGTCCAACCTGATGGTGAAAATGGGCCGTATAATGCAGAGCTGCTAGCATACTTATAGAACATCTGAAGGAGCTTGAGGTAAGGACATAGGTGTGATTGATCATTTACATAGATAAACATTTGGCAGAGAAAATTCTCTTGGGGAGATTAACTCAAGGAGACACTCTGTCTCCTAGGGACATCTACATTGCTTTTATCTTTCCCTCTAGTTGTATATGTAATCAATACTTGCAGTTGTTTGGATAAACACAGTAAGAGAAAAGGATCCCAAAACTTAGTTCCTGGGCTCTGAGAGCAAGCAAGACTTTTCAACACTTAGTTCTCTGGGTTCTAAGAGCAAGCAAAGCTTTTACTATAAATCCCAGACTAAGTCCTCAGACCAGTTCACTTTGTTCTTCCCCACGGGGGTCCTGTCTCTTAAGTCATAACAGCTTGTGTCAACATCATGCATTTATGCTTTCTAAAATGTCCCATTTTTATGCTAGGGTAACTTTGTCACTCACCCATAGTACATCCCAGTCCCACAGTGGGACCTCTCTTTTGGGGTGTTAGGAACTATAGTAACTGAAACATGAGTCAAATAATTATGACCAAGCTTTTATGCCCAGGAATAGATATATTTCAGAATCAATCAACTCCCCAATATTAAGAGCATAGCATTAATGGTCTTTCTGTGTTTAACCAAAGAACATTGCGCTATAATAAACTATAAAAAGGCTGTAGGGGAAATAGAAAAGCAGGTACAAATACACTTCAAATGCAAAACAGTACAAATACAAAGTTCAGAATGGCCAGAAAGTTTTGGCTATAAGTAATCAAGACTGACTTGGGGAACTGAGACAAGGAGAGGTAAAATACAATGGAAAGTTTAAAGATAATCTTTAACTAAATTAGGAATACTAGCAAGAGCATGGTAAGCTTCTCTGGGAGGAGGAAAAAGGGCAATTCACTGATGACGCCTAAAACTCTTAGGGTTAATATCCAACAGTAACATATGACTTAGGTTTTATTATACCCCACGAGTTTTTCACAATGATAAAATTGCCTAAAGACACAAGGCCTTTAAGTGACACATGAATGTATTACTTCTGTCACTTTTTTTAACATTTGGATAGCTGCATTTCACTATAAGTGGTGTGTGCACACATATGTGTGCTTTGCAGTTGCAGTGCTAGAGATTGAACCCAAGTTTCACATGCTTTTCCACTGAGCCACATTCCTAGCTCTTTCATAATCTTCGCGATTATGAAAGAAGTGGGTTCTTTCATAATCTTCGCCATTTTACCTTATGCATTTTACAACTCTTTCTGTCATGTGCAACACACATGATCACTGATCTGGGTCGATGGTAAACGTTTCTCACAAAGGCATATCCCTTCTATCCTCTGTGCTGGTGTTCACTCAGGTCCCCTGGCAGAAACACCTTCTTCATCTTTCTGTGCCCAATTAATTGTTCTTTGCCTTCCCAAATCTGATTTCGAAACAGCATCCCTGAACTATAACATGCCCATAGCTTCATGGTGATAGAGTTCAGTGTTTACCTTTGAGGCTAACTCCACTCATTAACAAACTCTTCAGGGTAAATGAAGATTGTCTAGTGCAAATAAAGTCATGATAGCTTACTCTTTATTTTTTGAGGTAGCAACGGTTTGCAAAACTGTGAATGTTTAATTTTTAGGGGTACCATGTAACCACACAATATCTGTCACCAAAAAAACCCAAATCCTTCCACCACAATCCTTTTGACCCTCTGTGCCCTTTCAACTACTCCCCACCCCAGTTTATCACCTCACTTCTGTACTCAGCATCTAAGCATTCATTTTCACTGGACATTGCCTATTTTGTTTTGTTTTGTTTCTTTATATGCCACTTAAGAGTGAGATCATCCAGTGTTTATCTTTCTCCTGATTTATTTTGCTTAGCATCACACCCTCTGGTTCCATTCATGTTATTTCACAGACAATATTTCATCTTATCTTAGAGCTGAGTCATATTTCATTATTTATAGACCATATCCTATCCACTCATGTGTCACTGGGCACGGGAATGGTTTCCAGATGTTGACCTGTAAAGAGCACTGCAATGAGTGTAAGCAAGTGTTTTTGAGTTAGCGTTTTTGTGCTCTTGGGATAGATGTCTAAGAGGAGAGTTGCTGCATCATATGGCAGTCCTACTAATGAGTTTTTGGAAATTCCCATACCGTTCTCCACAGGGGCTGAACCTATTCACATTTCCACCAACAGTGAGCTAACAGTTGCATGAAAGTTTTTTAAGAAAGGCAATGGGCTGCACCTGGTGAATTGCTTTCAAAGACTGAGTGCGGGAAAGCAGAAAAGGGTAACTCAAGTCATCAAGCACTACCTTAGCTAGGTGATCAGGCTTAAGTGGATGATGAATCCGCTGTCTCACCATGTTGAGAGTGCTTTATGAAAAGGAAGAGGACTCCATCGATGTGTCTTTGTTCTCATAAACTCTCATCTCTGAACCGTGAGAAAAGCACCATGTAAATCTTGACTTGACAGGGCCTGGCTCTCCAAAACGCCCCACCTGTCTGTTTCAAAATTGCTAGTCATCCAAAGCAAGGTTAGAAAAAGGTTAGGGCAGAGGAAGTCAAGGAGATCTGTTGAATTAATATGATATGATCTGCTGGATAGGAGTTCTGGGACAGAGTATAAGAGAGCTGGAGAGAGCTGGTGATGTTCCAATCAGCTGGGATCTGAGTGAACAGTAATGTGTCTGTTTTGATTTCTTAGTAGCTTCAAAGTTCCTGGTTATATAAGATGGGAAACCGAGTTCAGGCTATATAGAACTCTGTGCCCTCTTTCAATTTTTGTGTTGATTTTAAGCAGATCTTAGATAAAAATAGAAGATTATTCTAAAGCCTAGTGTGTTTATAATTTTCTTCCAAATTATAGTCAAAACAATCATACCTTGGTTGTCAAAGGATGGTCTTTCCACTTGTTTTTCTGTGATAAAAATAAAGTGAGAAAAAATATACTTCCCGCAAATTAGAGGTTGGAAACCTTTAACACTTGATCACTGCTTTGTCCGAGCAGTGGGGCAGTTGACAAGGTCTGAATTGAAATGGGCTATAATACACACTGCGCTCTCTTGGTATGAAAAAAGTAATACAGGGACAGGAGAGATAGCTCAATGGGCTAAGCACATGCCTTGCATGAAGGAGGCTCCCTGAGTAAGACCAGGAGTGATCAACAAGCTCTGAGCCAGGAGTGGCCCCAGAACACATCTTAGAGTAGCCTCATTCAAAAAAAAAAAAAAAAAGCAAAACTAGAATTAAATAATTTGCATCAGTTTTAACTAAATGTATTGTTGAAGTTAACTTCTCTTGTCCTTTCTGCTTTTTGTTTGTTTTTTGTGTTTTTTTTCTTTTTTGGGTCATACCCGGTGAGGTTCAGGGGTTACTCCTGGCTCTGCAATCAGGAATCACTCCTCTCGGTGCTTGGGGAACCATATGGGATGCCAGGGAACAAGGCCGGGTCGACTACGTGCAAAGCAAACACTCTACCCATTATACTACTACTCCGGCCCCCAGTCTTTCTCCCTTTTTTAATGGAGCTACGAGAGCATTCAAAGTTCCTTCTGTGGCTCAAATTGTTTGTCCACTGGATTTCTGCTCTCAAGAAAAGGATTTTTCAGGAAAGGGACAGGCTAAGGGAGGCGCCAGGCATGATAAGACCCATCCCCAGATGATAAAAGCACAAGCCACTGCAAAGTTACAAATTTATTGGTCCAGAAATAAATACAAATATCTCATTAAGAAACTCCTCTGGAATGACTTATACATAAGTTTTCTCTCTCCTGCCCTGACCCCTGTTCTTTCTACCCAGTCAGGGGAAGTCTCCCAGGTGGTAGGTGGCAGGTAAACTGAGTCACTGTCTTCTAGTGACCTAAAAGGCTGGACAATCTCCTTCTGCCAACTCTAGGACCCCAGAAACCATTGGGCCCTAGCAGCTGATTCAGCAACGGTCCACTAACTCTGGTCCAACTTCCTCTAAAAAGATCCATGGTTAGCCAAAATGAAAATCAAAAGGCAGTAGTAGCACAGGATTGGGCAACTTTGCCAGTGTTGCCCAGGAATGTCAGTGGTGCCATCCATTCAACAAAAGGAAGTTAAAAGGGAAGAGGAGGGAAGAAAAACCCATAGGATATACATTCCAAATCCTCACTGCCACTCTCCATGTCCCGTGTGAATCCCCACTCCTTCCAGGAGCAAACGGGGCCATCTGGAGATAGGTCAACATTAACAGAAACATCCAGCTGTCAAGCTCAGATTCAACCCCAACTGCCCAAGACTGGAAGCTGGATTTCACACAGTCACACCAGATTCCTGGGAACCAGGCGGGGTTGGCCTGAGGTCATAACTGCATTAAATTCCACCACATCTACAAGAATTCCTCACATCTAGTAACTGGAAGATCACCCCCACCCCAATACCCTATCTCCCAAGGCCTGAATATTTATCGCAGTCAAGCCCAGCTGTTCAAAATATAATTCCCCATGTCAAAGAAAGCAACTACAACTATAAATGCTCTCTCTCATGAACAATAAAAGTCACTCACTCATGGACTGGGGGTGGGAAGAAGGGGCCAGGGAGGAGAAAACAGATGAGCCAAAGCCTTAAATCCCAGTGTTTTCATACCAGTTTCCTTGCAGAGCCTGAAGACCCTGCTGCATACTTTGTCTGCCCTTTCAGGGGCAGCCAGAAAAACAGACGTGTGCTTTGGCATAAAAAGTGGAGAGATGCACCCACTTTTAAAAAAATCTATTATTTAATGTTAACTAAGCAGATTCCAAACACTGCTGGCCTCCACATATAAATTCCATCTTTTTTTTTACCCACTTCCTGTTTGGCCAAGTTCAAAGAGTTCCCCACAATTTGCTGTTCTCCCCCTCCCCAAATCCGAAAGGCTTTTGTTTCCAGAAACTGGCTGGTTCTTGGCTTGAGTTGGAGAGGAAACAGGACGTAGGTGGGCCACACTCTCCAACAAATCGCCTATTGAAATCAGGATGCGCAGGTCAGCCTAGCCGAAGTCTATGAAGTGTTGACCACTGTGTTTCTTGTTTTTGGCAGTATGTGGGGGGTCTCTGTGGGATGGGGGTTGTGGAGGACAGTAGCACAGGCTGCTCACTCATGGAAACAGGACACTGATGCTCCATTTCCTTTGGTCCACCCACCCATCCTCGTTCCAAAGGGTGCCCTCGACAAACCAAATCTAGCTTTGTTCTCACCAGAGCTCACTCGTACAAAATAAGCTTTGGATTAATACCGAGTTATATGTGGTGTGTGGCAGGCGCGGGTGGAGGTACAGGAAAGGGCTGAAGGAAGGGAAGCTACAGCAATTCAGAGTTCAGGGGTGGCCATTTCCACAGGTCACCTAACAGGAGACTTCCATGGACTTTGGCCCAGCATTGTTCCCGGTGGCGCCAGAGTTGGGGGTGATGTCCAGGCGGGCACCCTCACTGGTATGAGAGCGGCTGCGGGTGCCCTCGCTGGTGTGGGAGCGGCTGCGGGTGCCCTCGCTGGTGTGGGAGCGGCTGCGGGTGCCCTCCAGGGAGCTGACACTGGAGCCCGAGGCTGTGCGGGACCGCATCAGGCGGGTCATGCTGGCCGAGGGCACTGGGGAGAGAAGAAGCAACGAGTTAGGGCAGGGAAGAGGCCAGGAGCACCACAGGCCAGCAGGAGTGCCTGCTCTATGCAACCCCTGCTGGCCTCACACCCATGTCCTGTCTATACCCGGAGAAAACCCGGTTGCCCTGCTCTCTGTCATTCTGCATCAGCTCAGAGATGAGCATGGCACTCGGATGAGAAAAGACTCACTGCAATGAACACTGCCCTGGGAAGCCCAGCGCAGTATTTGAGTTCCAGCTCTTTTGCTTGCTTAATAGCTCTTAACTTTGTGAGTACCCTTCTCTCCAGCCCCATCTGTAAAATGGGAAGACTCAGGCTAACCTCCAAATGCCAATGCTTGGTATAAGCCCACCAATGCACATTGTCTTCAATCACTGGCATTAGGAGGGTATTTGAGCAAACTTATCTTCTGGGGTCCATCATGTAAATCATAGGGAGACTGAGACACATGGTGAGACTGGAGTATAGGTATCGTGTCTCTACAAAGAACAGAGAAATTCCCAGAATGATGAAGTACACTCTTCAGGGCTTACTATGCCCTCATGCATGGCAGGTGGCCAATAAAGGGGAAACAGACAAAATAATCCTCCCATCTCTACAGGGTTGAAGAAAGTCATCTCCAAACTTTACATCTCTCATGACCTTAGAATGTGGTCTTATTTAGATACAAGGGGCTCAATGTACTAAAGAAGAGAACCTAAAGGATCCAAGTGAGCATTCCAGAGACACTGGGAAGACAAAGATACACACCCATCAATATAGTAGTCAGCCAGAGAACACTGGACAGCCTCATCCACCAAGAGCTGGGAAGAGGCAAGGACCTTTGAAAGAGGTGTGACCCTGCCTACACAATGATTTGAATATCTAGCCTCTAGAACTGTGTACTGAAAGAGTATACATTGCCAGTGTTCTAAGCTACCCCATTAATGAGAATTTGTTAGGGCAGCCTCAGGGAATGAAGGCACTACTCAACTGAGGCATTGCAGCATATGCCACATTGAATAACCATCAGCGAAGGCAGGTAGCAAATTCACAAACATTCTGTGCTTGTGGGTAGATGTGGTGATTCACAATGACAGACACCCTCACACAATTAGGGCTGACCATACTTAATTCTTTCCTCAAGATGTAGATTTTGAGTCCCAGAAGTATGAGGATGAACCCCAAACATATCCTATCTTTCTTGACTGGAAATCTGGGTGTTTTACTGATCTCAACAGATCCTGGCAATGATGAATGCCAAGGGGCGGTCCTGCCTGGTGCAGCAACTAGAAGTAGGCACTGGAGAAGACTGTACAGCTGACTCTTGAACAACACAGGTCTAAAGTCCACAGGGCCACTTCAATAGGAATATTTTCATGAACAGATGATGCAAATGTGTAGCACCAATAAAATGCAATGCAGTTGAGTGCTACAAATACATGAATCTCCCTTCCTTATAACATTTTTTTTCCCTCTTTTGCTTTTTGGATCATACCCAGCGATGTTCGGGGATTATTCCTGGCTCTGCATTCAGGAATTACTCCTGGCGCTGCTTGGGGGACCATATGGGATGTCAGGGATTGAACTCGGATTGGCAACATGCAAGGCAAACATCCTACCCACTGTACTATTGCTCCGCCCCCCCCCTTATGATTTTCTTAAGAACAATTTCTTTTCTCTAGTTTTACTAGAGAAACACTGTTCAATACATATAAATACAAAAGACGCTAATTGGCTATTTATATGACCATGAAGACTTCCGGTCAACAGCACCAGGTTTATAGTTAAGTCAACAACCTCCTGTTCTCAGGTTGTAACTTTCTATTTGGCTGATGTCTCTGGGATGGTGTCTGTCCATGTTGTCTCCCCCCAAACCTTCCAGGATGGCTTTCTGGAAATAGAAGCTGGTTTGGAGGTAGGGTGGGAAGAAGGCCTGCCTTTCACTTCCTTCCTCTCCAGAAAACACTTTGAAGGCAAAACCCAAAACTCAAGGCAGGTCCAAGACAAACATACTGAGATCCACAGCCAGCAAGGGATTGTATCCAGAGGGCTGCCTGGAGGTTTCTCCAGTGGCTGCTTCAGCACCCCCTATTCCTAGAGGGACAATGGCCCTGAAGGTGGGGGACCACAAGCAGACGTTTGCTGCCAAGGGCACCTGGGGACACATCCCAGCCCCACCTGCCACCTAGCACGGCAGACAGCCCTATCCTGCTCCCAGCCTCACTGAAACTAAGGCTGGCTGAGGCTCCTCTCAAAACCGCAGTCAGTTTACCAAACATACTGTTACTATTTTCAATGAACAAACAGTTTAAGTCTCAAGAAAAACAGAAGAGCTTAGCAGTTCAGACTTCCCAGTTAAGATGGGCACACAAATCATAATTGCCAGCAGTAGGTGGAGAGAGTCCAAAGCAGTCCTGCAGGAACTGGACACATGGCTGGCCTGCACTGTGGGGGCTGGAACCCAATATTGTCTGCCCTGATGGAGTGGCTCTGTGTGTGTCAAAACGAGCTGTAGGGGGCCCCACCAACCTACCAGCTAGAACCCTCACACAAGAGGCCACAAGTTCTTGAATTTTGCTCCTATTTATCCTTCAACTCCCGAGTCAAATGATGTAGCAAAGACATGCTCCGAAGTATAAACAGCTTAATCAGCCACTTACACAGAGCTTAGTTTTCAAAGACTCATCTAGGGCCCAATTGTGCTTCTCACTTAATCTCTCAAAGCCTCAGCTTTATGATGTGTAAGATGAGGATCAGAGTACCTCGGAGGATTATGGTGAGGGTAACATGAGAAGATCATTTAATTCTTCTTCTTTAGCACATCACCACCATCATCATGAACACCACAGGGAGACTCTTGGGCATGTAACTGAGGACCTTGGATTGTGAGTCAGAGGGCTAGTGCATGCCCACCTTGCATACAGGAGACCCAAGTTCGGGCCCCAAGAATAAAGAAAAAAATGGAAAAAAATTATGCAACAGGGCTGGAGAGCTGATTCAAAGTCTGGTGCAGTTTCATGCTGGAGGCCGGCAGCGTGTCCCAAACATCACCAGATGCGGCCCCCAAACAAACAAACAAATTTCCTGCTGTGAAATAACTTTTGTCCAGCAACAGGAGGAGAAGGCATAACAGGGACTTCACACTGCTGCTCACCCTCCACCCCTCAAGTTTGCTTCCCTGGATCTGCCTCCCTCTATCTGCCCAACTGGCAAAAGGCTAAAGGCAAGGGAGGGACTTCAAATATCCATCTCAGCCTGGTTCAGAGGTTCACGTTTCCATCTCCCTGCCCTGCCCCTCGTCCCACCCCTGCCAGAAACCCAATACTCACTGTAGCCCATGCCCTGCACGAAGTACTTGAAGGCCTCAGCGAGCTTTGCTGGCTGCAGTGGAGGAAAATCTGGTTAGTCTCCAGAGTGCCCAGTTCCTCTGGCCCCAGGGAGTAGAGCTCAGAGTCATCACGATGGTCTGGGTCGTGTGTGCATATGCCTGGCATATGTCCGAGCCTGGTTCAGGCCCTGGCACCACCCACAAACATTGCTTGGTGCATCCCTGGAGGCCTAGAAGCACCATCAGGTGTGGTCCTGGTCTTTCCTGGCCCTAGCAGGAAGTGACCCTGGGCTCACTGAGCAGCATTTGGGAGGCAAAAATAAACAAAAAAAGGGAACCTGGCTCAAATAGGATCCACTGTGGTGATAGGACAAAGCAGAGGACAACTATGGTCCGATCTGGGAGATTATGATTAGTTTTGGCTCAGGAGAGAGAGTTCACATACAGGTCACTGACAGGGAGAGCTTCATCAAGGCTCCTGACTGGTCTGAGCCAGGCTTGCCTGTGAAATTAAGGCAGAGCACCACCACCACACCCCCAAGGGGACCCCTGCAGACTGGGCTAGAGAGGAGAAACACCCAGAGTTAGCAAAAGGCCCAGATTGGACTGTGGGTTAGTGGGAGAGGCTGGGGGCAGAGTTCTGCCATCCCTTTCTGGGTTGGAGAGAGGAAGAGTAGGGGACTAAGGGACAGAGAAAGAGTAGGGGACTAAGGCCGGTTGACGAGCAGCCTGCAGTACACAGAAGACCTGATTTTCCGACAGAGGACACAGAAATCTGGAAACTATGAGACTACCGATAAACGGTCCTCAGGGGCCAGCCAGGTAGGGGTAGAGCAGGTTGGGAGGGAAGCAGCAGGGGCACTTTCAGGGACTTAGGGACCACCTCGGAGGAGGGACAAGTGGGATGGGGTAGGTATGGAGGTGAGCATCAGGAAGGAAATGGAGACAGGTGTGAGGTTCAAGTATGGAGGTGGGGGTGGGGGGAGCTGGTGAGGAGGTGAAGACTGGTGTGGAGGTGGGGACAGAAGTGGGGGACAGGTGTGAGAAGTGGTGATGGGGTGGGAGGTGGGGATAGAACTGTGGGTGCAGGAATGAAGGTGTGGACAGGGTGAGAGGTGGGGATAGGAGTGCGGATGGGGACAGGTATGGAAGTTAGGATGGGGTAGGAGGTGGGAACAAGTTGTGGAGGTGAGAATGGGCGGGGGCAGGCATGGAGGTGGGGATGGCCTCGGAGGTGGGGACAGGGGTGAGCACGGCAATGGGCAGGATGAGGTGTGGGTCTGGCGCACACTTACCTGGGAGATCTGGGGCAGGCCGCCACAGTCCGCCATCTAGGAGAGAGAGAAGTTGATTAGTGCCGGAGCGTGCACAAGGCAGCTCACCTGGGTGCCACTTGTCCTCTCCGGGGCACCCAGCCTAGTGAGGCTGCTTTGATGTGTGTCTATTCCAGCACCCGGCTGTCTCTTGAGCAACCCCACTCCTGCAGCGCCAAGCCTGCCAGGCCCTCTTGAGGTCCTGTCCACCAAAGTCTCTGTGTCCCCCAGGAGCCCTGGAGGGAGGACTGTCCCCTCGGAGATATGAGTGCTCTGTCCATCTTCTTGTAGCTAGAACTGCAGCCTGGAGGCTGCAGAAGGGCTGACATGAGGTGTTTGGGATCTGGACAGAGGGAGTCACAGGTCAGCCCATGAGTTTCCCTTTCAGGGTGCTGAAGCACAGCATTGTCTTGTCCCTATGCCCTATTCCAGGATTCTGGATGCAACCAAAAAAAAAATTAATAAAACTTAGGGTGGGAGAGACAGTAAAATGGGCAGGAGCACATTCTTTGTATGCAGGTGGCCTGGGTTCAATCCCTGGTCCCATAAACACTGCTGAGAGTTTCTTTCTGGCCTTCAGCTATGAGCTGGGAGCAGCCTCCAGAATGACCAGTTGTGGCCACCAAAAGCAACAACAAAATAACACTGAAGAATAAAGCATCTGGGGTGGAGATTGCTGAGGGAACAGTAGGCTACAGATGCTTGGCATCTTGAGCCACCTCACTTCAGGCCTGTCCTTACAAGGTAGCTACAAGAAAGATCTTGGTTTTGTATAGTCTCTTGGGCCAAGAAGGCCCCAAACACTCCACTGGCTTGAGTGGGCCCCAATTCCCCGCACAATGCAGAGCTGAGACCTTCACAGAATAGACACACAAACACAATGCTCAAATAAGCTCCACACACTCCAGTCTCTCAGAAGCCATGGGCAGTGGTAGTTTTCCCCTTTGTACAGAGCCTGACTGGGAAGGTGTTCTGGGCTATTTGAAGGAGAGCCTCTTCTTGTAAATTTCTGGAGTCCCAGAGAGGGATTCTCTCATTTCTGCAGTCAGCATCCAGTGGAACATTGCAAACAAATAATTATTTTCTCTTATTTTTGGATGTCTTGGGTCACACCCTGCTCACTGATGGGGAACCATGTGGTGCCACTGGGAATTGGATCCAGGGCCTCACGCGGGCAATACAAATGCTCTATTATTCATCACAGCTCGGTCCTGCACAATACAAAACAATGACTTCCAGGGTTCCTGATCATCAGATTTGTCTCGGTCAGGCACACCTCCATTTTTCAGGAAACCGGGGTTTTCTGGGGCTGGAGCGATACGTAGGGTGTTTGTTTGCTTTGCACGTGGCCGACCAGGGTTCTATTCCCAGCATGTTATACGGTCCCTCGAGCACCACCAAGAGTAATTCCTAAGTGCATGAGCCAGGAGTAACCCCTGTGCATCACTGGGTGTGACCCCAAAACCAAAACCAAAACCAACCAAACAAACAAAAAACCCCAAAAAACCAAAACCAGGGGTTTTCTAAAGAAGACCAAATCAAAAGTCCACCCCTGCCCTTGTACCTTAAGGAGTGTGGTCTTTGTTGGATCCAATTTTGAGTTGCATTCCACCTAGACAAGAAAAGTGAGAACAAATTCATTAACTTCTCTGCCTAGACCCTGAAACACACTTCCCTGTTTTTCCTGACCTTCTGCCACTATTGTCAGAAATGAGTGTTTCTTCTAGCAGAGGAGAAGGAATGTGGGCTTTGTGAGCAAACACAGGCGGCTTTAAAATCCAGCCACACGAAGACTAGATGTGAGGCTCTTCCTCATTGAACTCAGTTTCCTCATCAGTAAAATGAAGATGATGTTTTTCCAAAAGGGCTGCTATGGTCTGAACTAAAATGTACAAGGTACTCTGGAATTACTGGCTAATGTTTAACCAGTTGTCGCCAGAGATACTACAGGTTTGTCACCCCCGGTTCTGATACCTCCAAGCTAATGTATTTTTCCACTGAAGCAGTGTACATCCCAAACTGGGCAAAATATATATACATAATGTATTTTGTTCAACATGCCCTACAGGAGAACCACCACCTGCTTTGATCTAGCTAGTATATGTCTATTGATGGATCCTACGATTGCATTCAACATATTGGAGAATTAAAAGCTCACATTAGGTTTTTGCCTTAGTTATGTCATTTCTCCAGGTCTCTGCTTCATGGACTCCCAGGTCCCCTGGGCCCAGTTTGGTGGATACTGGGAAAATAGAATCTTTGTTTTGACTCACAACATCACAAGTGGGAATTAGGAATGAAATGAGCTAGAAAGCCTGGCTTAAGCCTTGCTCTTCAGGTGCTTCTCTGCCCTTCCAGACAATCAGGCACCAGCTGGTTCTAAATGCTCCCTCCCCCACCATTCCTCAGTGGGAGGAGGTCTTTTGACCAGGAAGCCAAGTAAAAAGCACATTCACAGAAAGAAACTGTGGGAAGCAGGAGTGGGGCAGGAGGGTAGAGCCTGGAGAGGTGACATGATCTGTGGTCAAACAGCCACCAGGGCTGGTAATCACCAGGTGCGGAGGATGGAGGATGGGCCAATCCAGTACTCAGAAGACATCCATGCCCTGATGAAGTCATTGGTACTGTGTACAGGGGACTACAGAGCCAGCCAAATTTGCACCATTGCATTCCATGCAGAAACCAGTGACTGAGTTCTACATACCACAGCATCCACGGCAGGTGAATTATCTCCAACCACCAATAAAGCAGGGCACCTGGAGGACAAGGAGGAGAAAGGGAGGAGTGGTCAGCACCAGCTCCTTAAAGACTTGCAGACCCCCAGGCATGTCAGATCTGGTCTGTGGTTCTAAACAAATACTGATTTCCATTTCCTCCTCCCTTTTGCTCTAACACTTTATTTTCTTTCTCCTGTTTGGTCCTTAGGATCAAATGGGTGGGTAGCCATTTATACCTGTGTGAATTTTAAAAAATTTCTATGTCCTGATGGATTTTTTTTTATTTTCTTCTTTATTTTGGATTTCAAGATCCCTCTCCTCTGAGTAGAGGAAGGATGTGTAGGACTTTTCGAATGACCCAATCCAGAGGCAAAAATGACTTGCCTAAAAAAGGAAATGTTATGTGCCAAGTTCAGGTGTCCAAAACTATGGTTCACACAAGGAACTATATAAAGACACAGTTATTTCTGGTGGAAGACAAGGAAGTTTGCATCCGCCTCTGCCTTTGCCTCCTCAGTCTGTAGACTATTTTGGGTGGGTCTGTGTCTTATTCCTCTCTAGGCTTGGGGGCAATGTGAAGGATAGGTGCTTGACAAATTCTCTGTGTGACTATCAGTCCATCTCTTAGATGTGTCCCACAGAGGTGTTCGGGTGCCCCCAAAACTGCACAAGGACCAGAGAAATAGTATAGAGGGTTAGAGTATTTGTCTTGCCTGAGGCCAATCTGGTTGGATCCTGGGTACCCCTTGTGGTTCCAGAGTCCTGCCAGGAGTGATTCCTGAGCGCAGAGCCAGGAGCAAGTCCTAGGCACAGCTAAGTGTGAACCACCACCACCACCACTACCCTCCCCCCACCAAAAAAAGAACTGTCCAAAGTGGAAAGGGTATGGCTTGATGGTGTCTCTGTAGAATATTTTCCAGTTCTTAGTGCTGTGACATCCTACCACAGGAAGTTTACTGTCAATCTCAGAAAGCTCCACTAGCTTCTAGGGACAGAGCTTAAGTGCACAGGAGAGGAAAGGACTCACTGTAAGGTGACCGTGTGGGTTCCAGGCATGGGCCGCTCAATCTCCAGGTCCCGGCGGCTGCAGGCAACAAACGCCTCATTAGTGCCAGCTGACCCTTCCCTGGAGCACAGCTTCTCCTTCTCAGCCAAGGTCCCCAGCCCCAATACGCATCCCCCATGCCAAACTACCAGGTTTGAAGGCTTGTAGAGTCAAACTCACTTTTTGGAATCCATCACTTAATTTCTGCAATAGTGAGCTCCCATCCTTCTCCAGGATTCCCCCCTCTTTCATTGCGCTCCATGTGCGATTTTTTTCTTTTCCCAAATTGTCACTCCCCTCCTGGAATTCCTGGTGTCCAGCCTCCTCCCCAGCTCCTCTATTCAGACTGAGTCTCACCCATCCTCAACTCAGAATCCCGGACACAGATATTGAAGCCTCACATGCAAAACCAGCCCCGCTCCCTTCCTTCAAAGCCTTCAGATTGCCTGTCCCCTGCACAGGTATCCCTAGGCACAGGTTGCAAGAAAGCCTCCAGCATCAGACACCCTTTCTTCAACTCACAACCTGTCACCAAACAGGCCAGATTCAAATCAAGCTCCTCATTTCCTAGCTATGTGACCATGACCAGAATGTTCAACCTTTCTGTGCTTTCACTTCCTAAACAGGAAGCAAGGGTGCTAAGAGCAGCCTCATTGTGAGGTTTTGAAAAGAATCTATTGTTGCCAATGCCTGGCACAGGGGCAAACAAGGGTGAGACTGGAGGGTTGCTGATGGTCTTCTGTGTGCCCACTGTCCAGCCGAGAGCCTGGTTTGACCAGCTGTGCCTCTGTTTCTTTGGCAACTCCCAGAGAATAGTACCACACTCTCATATACTTCCGGAAGCGAAGAGGAGAGGAAGAGGGAGGGAACTAAGCCCTGTTACAAATATCAGCACACAGAGTAGGGTCATCACTGTGTGAGAGTGCAGCCACGAGACCCATTTCTGTGCCCTCAGAGAGAGCAGGGCAGAGCATGGGGCATTCATGGAGAGCCTAGACTCCAGGACCAGTCGCAAACTGACCTCAATACCAGCCACAATTAGGATTAATTATACTTTTGCTCCAAACTGAGAGAAGGTGCGCCCTATCCTTGCAGATGACCTCACCTTCCTTCCAGCAGCCTCCCTGGAATCCTCCACACTCAGCTCTCCTGGAATCTGGCCCACTTGGGGTCAGCCCTGAGCACAGGCATTTCCTCCCAGTCCTGGAGGGCATGACTGGTCTTACGGTGCTTGCGCCCCTAGTGGTCTGGAGCAGTGGCACAGCTCCTCCCCAAGAGTTCCCAACAGCAGGTTCACCCTGATGGGATTCCCTTCTGTTTAACTTATTTGCTCAATTTCAGAGGTGCATCTTCTATCACCTCTGCCTGGCCCTGAGTCAAGACCTACAGAAGGGAGTTGTGTGGCCCAGTGCTAGAGCCCATACCTGTTATAGGCGTTGATGAACAGGTGCAGGTTGCCAGGGTTCATGTCATGGACGATATGCTGGCGGTAGGTGTGGACCACCTCCACGTTATTCTGCATTTCCTCCTGTGTTTAGAGAGGGATGGTGAGCTTCGTTAGTACTGCAGCCTGGGTCATCATTCTCTGTTTTCCCTGATACTGAAGTACCCAGTGATGACAATGAAACCTAAATCCCTAAGAAGGCTGTGGTGCCTAAAATACCCAGAGGCAGAGAGAGATGGAATTTTAACGGGGCGCAGGAGGGACTTCCAGGTAGAGCCTACCCATCAAGGGTCCTGGTTCCAGGAACTCTGACTGCAAGTTAGTCCTTCCATACTAAGCATGCCCATCGAGATGGACACATGCCCTAACATCTCTGAAACTCATTGCACCCACAAGATTAAAAAAAAAACGCACAGGGAGAGGGGGAAATTCCTACTTCATTAGATGCTGAGATTTAACAGCCAATTCACTTTGGAACAAGTAACAATCCATGCGACAATTGGCCAGTGGTTTTTTTTATTTGTTTGTTTGTTTGTTTTTCTTTTTGGGTAACACCTGGCAATGCACAGGGGTTACTCATGACTCTGCACTCAGGAATTACTCTTGGTGTGCTCAGGGGACCATATGGGATACTGGGAATCGAACCCAGATTGGGGTTCGAATGTGTGCAAGGCAAACATTCCCTACCTGCTGTGCTATGGCTCCAGTCCCGTGTTTTTTTTTTTTTTAATGAGGATGCTTAAAGAGATGTTATTCCTGCTCAAAAATAAAAGTCCACTCCAATAATGGGAAGTAGCCAGAGAAGAATGTAATCACCATCCCCAACACCCTTGGGGTCTGGCCTCAGCTGCCCCCTCCTGGGTTTCTCTCCGAATATGATTTGAGACAGACAAACAAGGTAGGGGCTGGATCTGTTTCTCATTTGGACATCAGCAGACACTGCAGGTTTTACAGACTAGCCTGGTGTCAGGAGTGGCTGCAGAGCCACGCCGGGAGGGAGCCCTGCTATCCCAGGTCAGGCTCAGGCCACATGGTCCAAACATCCCCTACCATTTCCGCAACAAAGAGGAAAACTCGTTATTAAACGGCAAAGGGTGGGGTGGAAGGTAGTCTGAGCTGGAGCTTCAGAGCAAAACACAGCTGTAGCAAGCTGGCAGCAACCCCCAGATATCTGGATGGTGTGGGGGACAATCATGCCCAGTTCTGAAACTGACAACCCTCCTCTGAGGAAGTGCAGACCCCTTTTTCCATATTCCTATCAGACACTCAGTGAGGAGAGAATGTATCATAAGCCAAGAAATAAAGCCTGGAAGAGGGAAGGAGGCTAATACAGGTGGAATGGCAGCACCTGGAGAGTATGGACACGGCACATCCCTGGCCCAGTGAAGGGGAATTCATCTGGACAACAGTGGCTGCAAATAGAATGGAAGCATTCTGAGAGAGAAGATTGTTGTGGATGTTCTCAGTGGGTCCTAAATCCAATGACAGAAAAGCAGGGCTGTGAGGCTGAGGAAGTCAATGCAAGCTGGAGGCAGAGATGGGAGCAAGGAGCCCCAAGCCCATAAATGGCTGAAGCACCTGGAAGCTGAGAGGAGCTGGGAAGAAGCTTCTTGGGAGCCTCTCAGAAAGCATAGGCAGTCCACGCCAAGATGGCAGAGTCCAAACCATAGAAGGCGGAAGGAATCTGCTGTTGTGGCTGGTGGCACTGAGGTCCTCTAGTAGGTGCAGAAAACACAGGTATGGACCCTACGCAGCAGGCACTCAAGAATATCTGTCTTAGGGCTAGAGCAATAGCACAGCAAGTAGGGCGTTTTCCTTGTACACAGCCAACCTGGGTTCAATTCCTAGAATCCTATACAGTCCCCTGAGCACCACTGGGAGTAATTCCTGAGTCCATGAGCCAGGAGTAACCCTTGTGTATTGCAGAGTGTGACCCAAAATGAAAAAAGAGAAAAAAATTTTAAAAAAATATGTCTCCCTGGGGCATCACTCAGCCCTGTGATCAGGTGGTTACATGCTAGGATTCAGAAACAGGGAGATGCAGATCATTCTCCCCTAGGTGATCAGCCCCAGCTGGAGAGACAGCCAGAGCCAGGGCCTGGCTGGCCCCAGTGAGAGTGACAGGTTTCTACATGACTCACTTGCTGCAGAAAGGCCTGGTGGGGCCGTTCCGAGAAGTTACTAAAACCTACTCTAAAGTCAGACACACAGTTTCTGGTCCTAGCCCCAGCTATCCCTCACTGAGATGCCATATACACAAACCATTCACCTCTGTGGTTTCAGGTTTCTCCATACATAATTGGAAATAAAAATTGCTGTTCTAGGGATCAAAGAGGGAATACAGCAGGTAAGATGATTGACTTACACCCGGCCAACCAGGGTTCAATTCCGGGCACCCAATATGGCCCCTGGAGCCCCACCAGGAGTGATCCCTGAGTGCAGAATTAGGAGGAGATCTTGAGTATGGGCCCCCAAACAAATTCCTAGCTCCTGGGATGGATGGCATAAATGCATACTGACACAAACTGAAGAGTAAACTACACACATCAAAACCCACAAGCACCTTTGTTCTGGCTTGGATGTGCAATGAACCCAAACAGGAAATTATCAAGATAACCCTCCTCCAGTGAATGGAAAACCAACCCGAAGACCATCATCACCACCACCACCACCACCACCACCACCACCACCACACACACACATACACACACATACACACATGCATACACACACATAGACACACACGAATACACACACATACACACATACATACATGCATACATGCATACACACACACACACTCCACCCAGCACCAAGAGCAGTGAACAGCTCCCACTCCCACTCCCAGCAACACCAGTGCATTGTTAAGAAAGTACTGCCAAGTGAAAAGAGCCAGATTTAGTTTTTAACAAGCAAGCACAGACTGTGTGAGCTGCTTGTATAAAAATCTAGGAAAGGCAAATTTGACTAAAAGCAGGAGGAGGAAGAGGGTGACCCCAGGGCATAAGGTGGGAAGTCCCTGAGCAGAGCTCAGCGAACCTAGGGCCAGATGACTCACTAGCTGGACCCAGCAATGAGGTGCTGCTGGGGCCCAGAGGTGCTGGAGGCCACCAAGACCACCTTAGTATTGTACGGGGACTCATATATGGCTGTAGATAGAGCTCAGGGCTTTGTTCATTCCAGGCATGTGCTCCCATTCTTTGAGCTCTCTCCTGGCCCCCATTACCTTGGTTTGGGTGATGAAGTTTTGGGTGTACCCAGGTGCTCAGCTTTGTCAAGTTCTACATTTTCAATTTGTGTATTTGTATTCAATAAAATCATTTTCAAGTCTGAAGTGATAAAGGGTGAGAGCATGCTTTGGTTGTGAAGCAATAATATCACATGTGCATCATCATGTGGCACCACCAGTGTGTATCTTGTTGGCCTCTCTATCCTGTGTGTCAGGCAGCCACAGCCACTCAGTGTGAATAACAAAAGGCCAGATCACGGGACTCACCTTCCCAAAGAAGTGGGAAACCACCATGTCTGGAAGAGCCTGGGTCCATCCGGAAATCTGCGGGACAAATCACAGAATTAGGAAATTGGGGTTCACTGAGAGACAAGCTCCCAAATCCAGGTCAAGAGGTGATAAATGATGCTTGCTGGATCTGGGGTTTCTGGAAGTCAGCCCCGCCTTATCCTCAGAGGTCCACACACAGGGTGCAGACAAGAGCAGGCACTCAATAGAAATGCAACTTGTTACTATCTTTGCCCCTTCTGGGTACACTGAATCCTCAGCAAGGGGTGCCCACGTCCACTGTTTCTGAGTACCTGAGTCTCCACCCCAGCCTCTGCTTACCTCAAACTAGCCTTTAAATTTCCTCCCTCAAGACAGCTTCTCTCTGAATATACTGAATTTTCTGATGACACTGTGACCTTCACCTGTCACCTCTCTTTATGACAATGCTAGTATACAACAGAAATTCCATAAATATTAGACATACCATACCATCAGATTCATAAATACGATGTATGCATGATGACATGCATATTTGACATAAATTTTATCCATTTATCTAAATGGATAAAGTTTATATTGACATAAACTTTATCCATTTAGATAAATGGATAAAGTTCATATATATATATATTTTTTTAATTTGGATTTTTGGTTCACACTCAGCGATGCTCAGGGGTTACTCCTGGCTTTACACTCAGGGGTTATTCCTGGCTTTACATTCAGGAATTACTCCTGGTGGTGCACAGGGGACCATATGGGATGCTGGGAATTGAACCCAGGTCAGCCGCGTGCAAGGCAAACACCCTACCTGCTGTACTATAGCTCCAGTCCCCAAAGTTTATATATGTTTAAGTTCTGTGATACCAGGCACAAAGCAGGAGCTACCAAAGTACTAGGCATGCAGCAAGAGCATTAAGTATGTGCTGACTAGTTCGGCTCATGCAGGATCTGCTGAAGAAGATAAACTCTAGACCTCGGTGTTGCCATATAATGCTGCCCTGGTGCTGGGGTTCAGAGCACTGGAACAGAAGTATGAGGAGAGCCAAGGAGAGCCTCCCAGGAGGCACTGTGTGTCCTAGGATCTGATCCAGGGGATGACGCAGCGTTGACCAATGCTGTGAGTCTTCCCTCTCAGAACTGGGGTTAAACAGGATATGGCACAGATAGTGAAGCCCCATTATCACCACTTGGTCCCATATCAGTCACTGATCAGCGTCTTCTGCCCTCTACCCCTGGCTCAGAACATCTTCCCAGGAGCCATCTTCCCAGCACACATTATTCTCTTGTTAGAGAATAAAGTGAAAACTAGAGTGTATCTGCTCCTGAACATAGCACTCATGTGGCAGGGAGGGCACCAGGCAGGGACACGATATTAGGATGGCCAAAACGGGAGGGAGTCAGAGAGGGGCATCACCCCTTCCAATCCTCTGGCCTGACAGCCACTGCAAACTTGGCAAAAACACACTTCCAAAATGAGAAGCCAGGATCCCCCCAGCTTGAAAGACTTTGTCTATTGCAGTTGGAATGGTCTCCCTCTTTTCTTGGCAGATATCAGGGCCTTTATGAAAAAACAAAAAATCAACTTTGAAAATGTTTAAAGGATAAGCATGGACCAAGGCCAGTGGACAGAGCCCAGAGCCCAGCTTCCCACAACGCAGGGGGCCTTCCTCTTAGGGGCCTTGTCGTCACCACCAGTACTTGGTCAAGGCAGAAAGGAAGAGATGGGGCAGGTGGGGCACAAGTGTGCCACTGATTAAGGGCCACTGAGGCCCCAGGAGAAACACTGGACCCAGGTCTCCCACTGGGTGTACCCCTAGACAGCTTCTTTAACTCTTCTGCACCTCAGTTTCCCCCTCTGTAAAGCAGTCACAGCCACCGTCACCAGCTGGCTCTACTACGGGTTTAAACAGGTAATGCATACAGAGTCACAGAGAGGAGAAATACCACCTGGTAGACAATCAATAAATGTTAGCTAATTATTACTGTCATCTACACTAAGTGGCACAGATGGAGAGTAAATTGATATTTCTTTACTCGTGGCTAATTCCTGAGATTAGAGAACATTGTTTATGTTCTGAGTCTCATGCACTTCTTCGGGGGGTGTTCCCCAGCAGTGCTCTGAGAGACCAAGTTCCCCTCCCAGCCATACTTGGCCCTGTTGTGTGGGTCTATTGGCACTCAGGTCTGGTGATGCAGTATTGCCTGTCTAGGAACCCTGTGGAGCTGGGGATGGAACTCCAGGACTGGTATGTGCCAGGCATGTACTTCGGTCCTCTAAACTATCTCCATGGACCCAACCAATACTCCTGAGTCCAAACATTGTTTATCAAAGCTGTCTTGGGAATTCCCGTCTCACTGGAATCTCTGACATCAGCCTCTCAGGGACCTCTGAACAGCAAATACTAGAGGTCATTTACTTCTCCAGGCAATGCTGAGAGCACCTCCTCTCTTTGTAGAGGTGGGGATTAGGGGACAGTGAGGGTGGAGTGTGCAGAAACCACTAAGCACCTGGATCCAAAAACCCCACCCAACAACCGTTCCTCACCTTTGAGGCAGCCCAGTCCATCCAGCCTTCTGCACATGGGTTCACGTTGATGAGGACGAGACCCTCCACCATCTCAGGGTTGTTCAGCTGCAATTCAAGACAGGAGATAAGAGAGAAACATGGCCAAGGGAGGCATGGTGAGTTTGAAAAATCAAACCAGGGGCTGGGTAGATAGTTCAAAAGAACTCAAGCATATGCTTTAAAAGTGGGAAGTCCCTCCATCTTCCTGCATTTCTGGTAGACTGCCAGTCATGCCCAGGAACTGCCTCTGGTGTCATGAAAGTTCATTAAAGTCCATGATCCAGAGACTCCCAAATAAATCTCTCATAAGGGAGCAACACAGAACCATACGACAGAGAGATGCTTCCAGACCTCGTACCAGGCTGTCTCATATGGGGCAACCCAGAGTGGGGTGGGTGAGTTCCCCTCCCTGCCCCAACAGAGCCATGACAGCCAAAAACCCCCAGAACTCAATCACCGCCATGCTCACAGCTGATCTCCACAGGCTTGGACAAGCCTCATCCATGAGTGAAACTGCTGAAAAGCCCAGGTATATAGGAATTATGACTGAAATCTCCAGCTTGCATGGAGTTGGGAATGGGCAACCTCCCGCCACCCCCCTTCGTTTCTGGAAGCCTGGCAGTCATGCCTAGGAACTGCCTCTGGCACCATATAAGCTCATTAATGGCCATGATCCAGAGACTCCAGAATAAGTCACTCAGAAAGGAGCAACACAGAAAAATATGCCAGAGATGCCTCCAGACCCCAAAGCCACAATCCAGTTAAAAAAATTAAATTAAATTAACCTCAGCTGTATTTTAAATTTTAGAATTTCTGGAGCAACATCTCATATTCTATACCACTGATGTACCAAGTGTAGCACACTACATTTGATGGGTTGTAAAGTAGAAGGCAATCCATCTAGGGGAGAATATATATATATGTATGTATGTATGTATACAAAAATATATAAGCATACAAGGTTCAACCTTTAACAACATGTTAGTAATGTCTTATACAAGGGCTAATGGCTCCAGAGTGAAATACAACAATCTTCACACACACTCTTTGAAGAAAAATTTTTGGGATCATTTTTAGTAGATTATTTATAACAAGAAGTATATAATAAATTATGCAGGTCCTGTTTCTGGGTCAAGATTTGAAGGCCGGGGTGGAAACATTCGAAATATGGTGGTGGGTAGGGTAGGTGTAATGGTGGTAGGATTGGTGTTGGAATATTAAATGTAACAAATTATTGTAAAAATAAAATTAAAAAATAAATAAATAAGTGGGAGGTCTGGGTTCCATCCCAGCACTGCATGGTCCATCGAGTACCTCTGAGAGCACCCATAGGTAGTGAGCCAGGAGTGGCTCATTAACAACAATATGGCCCTCAAACAACAATAAAGAACATTAAACCAAAGGCAGAGAAAAGACCCCAGAACAGGGCCATGTATGGTTCCCCAGAACAGGACTATATAGGGTGTTCTCAAGAGTACCACCCCCAACCCTGTCAAACTGAGGCTTCAGTTCAACAGCTACAGGATGGAGCCATGAGGAGGCATGGAGAGGCAGGTGCAGGATAAGTCAGGAACAAACCTGCTCCAGAGACCTTCGTTGAGCAAATCAATTCAACTGTCAAATGGGTTGATTGACAGTTCAACCCACACCTCAATCAGACAGGGCACATATACACTCTTTGGTTCTTGGTAGAACTCAATTACTTCTAGGAAATTACCTAATTATCTGTGTGCATATACACATGCATGCATGCTACACACACACATGCAGGTATGAACACACGTGCAAACATGTGCATACACACACACACATACACACACACCTAAAATAGAGTTGGGAGCCATGCTAGTCAGATAGACCCATATATCTTCATTCATCCCAGCAATTCCTACCTTGCATAAAGCCCAGCAAAGGAAACAGGAAGACACAAATTGTATCATTGCACTTTTGAACAACTACGTTGGGAAAATACTAAAGGTCATATAGCACCTGACTTGGACCCATGTAATCTAAGTAGCAACTGGCACAGAACTCTGATTCAAGTTCAGAATCAGTAAGCACCCAAAAGTTCCTGAGGACAACAAAAAGTGGAGCCATCATATGGAGACGCCTTGCTGGAACAGACTCCTCAGGAACATGAGAACTGTAAAGACACCAAACTGGAAACAAAAGAATACATCCAGGGTGGCAGTTTGGTGAGAAAAAGAACAACTTTCAGTATGTGCATGAGTCCACATGTAGGCTGGAGAGATAGTACAGCATATAGGGTGCTTGCTTTGCATGCAGTCAAGCTACATCTGATCCTTGGAGCTTCATATAGCCCCTTGAGCCTGACGATGTGTGATCCTTGGGCACAGAGCCAGAAGTCCAGAGCACTACCAGGTGGTGCCCTCTCCCCTCAAAAAAGTCCACATGTTTATACACAAGCACATGCATGCTCATCTATATACATGCACACATATGCAGGCACACAGTGTAGCACCAGGGCTACATATAAATCTACACCTGTGCACACACCCATACATACAACATACATATAGGTCATTGCCTTCTTTCCTTTGGTATTTTCAAATTCTCTTATGCTATAGTAATTTTATATAAAACATACTCTTTTTAATGCCAAAAAAAACTCACAGCAAATCGAGTGAGGATGTAAGCGCCAGCCCCAGTTCCCATGCCAATAACACTTTTCAGTCTGGAAGCAGAAAGAAAAATCCATGTCACAGAAGGCATGAGTGATGGGTTCCCTAACAACAACCTCAACACCTCCCCACTCTCTGCCCCAAAAGTGTCCCATCTTCTAGTATTCTAGCTGCATCGGGTGGGGGCTAGGGGCAGGGCAGTACCTGGAAACTACATTAGACTTTATGGCTTAAAAAAGGTCATGATCTTCTCCACATGCCTCCCTTTCTCTTCCCCCTTTACTGTTATATCCCAAACTCTAGAGACTATCTAATAATTCAGGAAGGTACACTACTGCATTGCTATCAATCACTCTTGAGTTTTAGTTCAAACTTGAAGAATTGGAATGAAAATAAATTGGGCAAAAGCTCTTGGAGGTATACTCATTATACATAATCTCAGGGAAGAAGATGAGCACTGGAGAAATAAGGGTCTGGAGACAGGCACTGAGGGCTCAGAGAAGTCTATTCTAGAATTTTCCACCAGAAAAAGAAATCAATGGGAGAAGAGACAAGGAAAGGACAGGCAGGTGGGTAGCAGTGATCAGGTAATATATTCAGTTCAAGATGAAAACTCTTAGTTACAAGATAAAGAACTGGAGAGACCATGTGAGAACAGTGTTTACACAGAGGACAAGCTCATTTTGTCTCTGCACTATAAACTTCAATCTAAACTTGAGTGGTAAGGCTGAGTCAAAGCTGAAAGAGAGGAGAAATAAGAAGTCCCCCTTCTTGCAAGCTGATTAGGGAGCCATATCCTCTATCTTACCCAAACTGGTGAAGGACTCCAGGAAGCATTTCAGCCAGTTGATCCATGGAGGGGTACATGTACCTTGGGAGAAACACAGCAGAGTTAGATAAGGCTCAGACCACAACACAGATGCACAATGACAACAGGAATGCTCCAGAATTCAGGGAGCCTGTGTTCACACATCCTAGCCCCTACACCCACTCTCCAATCTGGCCTCCCTAAAGTCCTCATGTGAGTTTGCTCCACTTGGCCAGGATGCCCTCACTATTAAAGTTTCTCCTTTTACTCTGTGACCCTGATCAATTGCTGGCTATGTCCTGGGTCCAGCATCAAGCTTTGGATGATCATTATAAACTCATTTAATCCTTACCCCAGCTCTCAGAGGTTGCTATGATTTCTTCCTCCATAAAGATTACAAACACCATCCAGGCTCAGAGATAAACCCCTTGGCTCCACAGACAAGCAGGAACTTGGAGTCTTATCTTATGTGGCCCTTGAATTTGTGTCTAGGTTTACATATCCACTCACCTTCTGGAGATCTACTTTCCAATATTTGTGAAGTATCCCTGACTATAAGGAAGTTCTTTTCTCTTATCTCTTCCGCCACAGAGATGCTATGGCAAACATTTGGCAAGTCACTGATGAGCTGGAGACAATGGTCTCCATCAGCTTTGGACATGGCTACTCAGGGGGGAGATTTTAGGCACAGAAAAGTATGAATTCATACCTCTTTTGGGACCACACGGGGCTGGGCTCTCTCCTCCATTCAAAATTGGATCCCAAAATCAGTAGATTTTGAGGATTAGGGATTAGATAATCTGTGTCTGTGCATTCAAGGCTGCAGCCAGGAATCGACAATTTTCTACCAGCTCCTCAGCAAGGCCCGGAAGAGACTGTTCATTTCTGCATGTCAACTCTTCTAATAGTTATACCATCACTAGCCCCTAAGACCACCAGGAGCCACTTTCCTGAGTGGTTCTATGTCCACTTGGTCCCAACCTACCCTTACCCGGCCCATGTTTCTTTTATTGGATCATTTCCCCCTTGTAGTCCTTTGCATAAGGTATCCCCTCCATCACTTCAGAAGTGAGTGTTGACCCTCCACCCCTTCCCTGCACCATCATTTCCACAGAGGTCCAGGGCCTTTGTGCCACCAGGGACCATCAATGCTAGCCTGAGTTCCTCCACAGTCCCTTTGCCTTACTCCAGGAGGATATCCAAAATTTGCCCCCTTTAGAAAGTCCAGATGCCATCAGTGACCCTTGCTCTTTTCATTTGTTGGCTTATTTATTTGTGGTGATTTTGTTGTTGTTTATTTAATTCCAGGGGTCAGGTGCTTTCACATCAACCTTGTTTAAGTGAAGACATACTATTAAATATATAGTGTAAGGGCTGGGGAGATAGTAAGGGGTTAAGGCATCTGTTTTGCATGAGCCTGATCCATGTTCAAGCCCAGGTACCTAATCAATCCCTGAGTAATTCTGGGTTTAACCCTGAAGACATGGAAGTACATCAGGTATAGTCACAGACAGCATCTGATGTCACACCCTGTTGTCACATCCAAGCACCACAGGACAGTTCAACTCTCAAGATACAGGGAATGTGGAGCTAGTATTTTGTCGGGAATGCAATTTCACTTTGAAGGGTAATGAAAGACTTCTAGAGGTGGGTGGGTTCTGGATGTACCACAGTATGAATGTCCTGGATGCCACGACTGCACAATGAAAAGTGGCTCACATGGGATTATTCTCCTGATGAAGATCAGGGAAAAGAGGGTTCAAACAGTAAATCTCTGACAGATCTTCCTCAACTCACAGTATCATGCAGCATCTCATTGTGCATTGAAACCTGACTCATGAAAACACTAACTTCTGGAAGATGTGACTCATGGTTATGGCCCAATGTCCTATCACAAAGAGCATCCTACCACTATTTTTCCTGAATACAAACACCATGATAAAGTCCAAAAACCGATGCCAAGAAGTATCTGTGATACATCTTACAGCAATTAAATTTAAAGTCTGTTCCAGTCATTTCTTCCCCCACCTATCTGAATCCTGCATGGCTAAAGCCTGGGACAGGGGCTCCCCCTTCTTACCCAGCAGGGAAAGATGCAGCCCCATCCTGCTGCCCGGGGGCATCCACATGGCAGACCGAAAAGTGCTGGGTGATCTCCTGCATGTCCTCATAGTTGAAGAGGGGGTTGTAGCAAGTTTTGTCTGAAGAGCAGTTAGGACAGAGAAGAAGAAAAGAGAAAAACACATTAGGGTGCTCAGTGACAATCTATTTCATTTTGTTCATTCACTCCTATTTAGCAGGTGGAAAAAGTTCCTGAAGAACCAGCTGGCAGGGCCAGAGCAATAGTACAGCAGGTAGGGAGTTTCCCTTTCATGCAGTCAACCCGGGTTTGATCCTCGGCATCCCATAAGGCCCCTGAGCACCACTGCAAGTAATTCCTGAGTGCGGAGCCAGGAGTAACCCCTGAGTATAAGTGGGAATAACCCAAAAAGCCAAAAAATAATTAAAAAAAACAAACCCAAAATGAACTAGCTGGCATTATAACTCTAAATTCTGCTCTATCATTCTTTCTCTCTGGTCTCCTAAACCTTCAGGAATACTAGCCAGAAAACATGATTATCAAACAAAGTGCAGAGTAACTGCAGCATAGATTTCCCATGACTAATGTGGCCATGGATGCACCTCTAAATGGCTGAAGTATAAGACAAAATGGCCTCCAGGTCACCAGCAATACATTTCCCCTCTCTTCCTGGGCACAGAGTTGAACTGTATTTCCCAGACTCCCTTGCAATAAGAAGTCATTCTGACCAGCAGCATGGAGTTCACCATTTTTCTCACAACTCAACCACCTAATCCTCCAAGTCCTTTTGTCACCTACTTGACAGATGTAGAGATACCAGCAGAAGCCTCTCAGACCCAGGGAATGACATCACCAGAGATGACCAGAATCTGGATTTCTAAATCACCTGTGGAAAGGTGTCCCACAGAATGCCCACTGATAGTTACTTAGTGAGAAATAACTATTTTTGAAGTCACAGAGGAGTAACAGTCTCTTATAACTAAAACTAAGTCTTTCTAAAATGATGGAATGGCACCTCCATATGAGACTACATTAAAGCACCTAGCATGGTATCCGGGGTAGGGTGTGAGGGGGGTGGGGACACACAGAGGAAGAAGTGAGATGACACAGGTGAGAGTGAAGGAGGAAACAAATGGTTTTCATTGATGCACATCATCAACAGCCTCAGTCTATGAATCAACTGTAGAGAAAGAATGCAAAGTAGGCAATTTGTCTATCAAAAATCAAACAAGTCTTCACCATATGGTGCTCAAGTTTATAGAGATAAGGGGATCAGGAAGGTCTAAAAGAGCCTTCTGAACACAGAAGGATTTGCTGACTTATGTGTCATTTTATTTTACTTCATTTTTGTCTTTTTGGTGACTAGGATATTGGTTTTATTCATATTTTATTTTAAAAAGGTTTGATTACAACACCGTGTTTTGCCAAATTTCATAATATGTTGTCATTAAGTGTCCAACACCAATATCATACACTCCACCAACTGTTCCAAGTTTCCCCACCCATCATCCTAGCCTGTCCCCTCAGCAAGCACAAAATTTACTTCCTACTGCTTGTTACAAAACAAAGGCAAATGGACTTACCAAAATTTAGATCAATGAAAGTCAATCTGTGATCATTGTTATATCACACAAAGGTGTTACTGAAATCATTGTTTAAGGATTTACTGAGGTGGTTGGTGCTAGCTAGAGATGTCATTTTAACTTTCAGTAGATTGTTTTTCCTTTCCTAACTGTAAAAAGTAAGCACTTATATAGGCACTTTTCTTCCAGGTACTTTTAAGAGTGCATCATTTAAACAAGGCAGCATTACTCAGAAGAGCCAAATCATAGAAACAATTTAAATGCCAATCAGATAAAGACCGGAGAAACTATTGTGGCAGATCCACATCATGAAGTATCATTCTGAGAAGAGAATCAAGTGCTGACATGGCTAACACATAGATAAACCTTGGAAAAATTACGAGAAGTTCACAGAAGGACTCCTGGAGTGTGAGTCTATTGAGATGATTCCTTAGAGACAAACAGGAGGTTACTGATTCAGGTGAGGCAGGAGCTGTGACTGTGGGTCTCTGTTCATTCGAGATTCCCAGGTTCTTCAGTATTTTAAAGGATGAAAATATTGAATAGTAAAGATGTTCAGACTCAGAGTTGTAAAATAGAAAAGTTCGTTGGAAAGTAGAAAAGAAAAGAAGCTTCCCAAGTGGGAGTTTAGTGGCCATCAGTCTGAGCTCGGTTGCCCACTGAGACACACAGAGTCAGAACAGGTATTTCAAAAGTTTTATTCACACACCCAAACACTCATACACAGGACTCAGCACTGAGGGCACTCATACGAGGGACTCATTTAGAAGCTGGGATCTCTCCCTGGGCTTGGAGCCCTGATTGTTCTCAGGGAGCAGTTTTTAAGTCCTATGCTCTCCTGCCTATGTGCCAGGATGCACACCTGTCTGGGTGCCCCTTTACAGGTGCATTCTCATGGCCTTGAGCAAACAGGTGAGGATACCAAAGTAAAAGAGAGCAGTTAACACAACTTGTTACTTTTACTCAAATCATCCTAGTTATCTGTGGTCAGATATCTGGGCAATTTATGTCCGTGCCCTTGGGGTCTGACATGTTTTTCTTACTAGGTTGTAAATTCATGATCTTGAGGCACAAAATGGAGTCTGGCTATCTGTTTCACTGGCAAGGGGAAACTGAGGCTTCCTATTTCATCATCAGTGATTCCCAGGGGCTGGAGTGCGAAATTACGGGATGATGGATATAGGGTAGAAGATTCCTTTACAAGTAATAAAAATGTTCTACAATGGCTAGGGTTGATGGTTGCCCGATTCTCGAAAAACACTAATAACAAACAAAAAAACAAACAAAAAAAACTGACATGAACTAAAGTCTGGGTCAAATCCAAGACAGTGGAGTTCCCGAGAGCTACCACCAGCACATTCTGGCACAGAGATATCTCCATGTCCCAGAGCTGGGCTTTCTGGATCCTGCCTTGTTTGTACAAGAGCTCTTCCAAGAAGGGCTCCAGGAAGTGACAGAAAAGAGAAAAGGACCATGCCACCAATACCGCCCCCCCAGGCTGGCTTTCCCCACCTTCAGGAGGAACAGGTTCCATCTCAACAGTGGACCCAGGCTCCTTAGAACTTACGGTTCATGCCGATGTCATGGTATGTGAGGATGACGGGTCGGTTTCCCTTGGGCGTCCCGCAGAGTGTGACATGAACAGTGCCATGTAAGGTCTCAATGTCCTGCTCCTGAAAAGAACAGAAAGCAGAGAGGGCTGTCAGTCAGATGAGCCGCATGGCACTGGGGGGCGGGGGGTGGCTGTAACTATAGGCTGCAGAGAGTCAGCATACTCCATGGGGCTGGGGCATGTTTCTCAATCAGACTGAGGGCTCTGAGCTTCAGGCAGCAGAGCCAGAGAAAGAAGCAGAGAAGGAAGGGGAAGGAAGGGGAAGGGAGATTTAATCAGGAGGCAGAGGAGTCTGGGTTCAGAGTATGCATCTAACAGCATGAAGCCCAAGAAACGGCTTCCGCCATAATTCCCATGGCTCCACAGAAATTTGCATTTCTCTCACAGGAGAGCTGAGACCATGAAGGCATAAACTTTCCTACTTTCACACCTCTTCTATTCCTCTAGCCAGCTACACATGTAATGGGCACTGGATGGTTTAGGGCAGCCTAGTATTTCCTGTTTCCCCAATTTCCTATGTGAACCTGATGAGGAAAAATATCTCCTGTCCACACTTCAAACAAGCTAACACCAGAGAGCAAGACCTGCCAAGGCACAGCAGAAGATAAGCATGGAGTGCATTCAGGGTGGGTGGCCTTGAGATGGTCTGAGTTTCCTTTGTAACCTTGGTAACCTGTGAACCCTATGCCAAATGTGCTCATGTTCTTGAAGTGGTCCAGACTCCTCTTAGCAATATAACATACCTTGCAATTTCTGTTTCTGTGCTCCCCTGCCAGTTGCCTGCAAGTGTCCCAACTCCCATCAGATGGTCTAGAGAAGAGTTTTGCCTTTATTCTGAATCCACTTCTGGAATATGAGCTCAACTGGCCCTGCTATCATAACATTAATGTTTTTCCATTCCGCAAGGCATGCTGATTGATTTTTTCCCTGCTGGCTTTTGGTAGGAATTTCTGCAAACCCATCCTATCCACTCTCCTTCCCAGCAGATCTGTGGATGTTGAGATCCTTCTCCCAAGTTTCACAGGCAATATCAACTTGGAATTGGTGGGCCTTCAGACCCTTGAAGTTAACTCAAGGGACTAAGCATGTGTGTGGCATGCAAGAGACTCAGGGTACATCCCTGGTACAGCTTGGTTCCCCAAACACAGGACAGATTCAGGGAAGGGCACTTGAGTTAGGGCAATCACAGTCAACTGCACTCATGTCCAGCTCTTGTGAAATAGTAGATGGGACTTTGATCCAGCAATGCTGAGAGGACTGGATCTGTCACAGCCATGTTATTACAAGGAGGCAAGGTTCTGTCTGATAACACAGAGCAACAGTTGGAAGAGGGAAAGAAGAGAAAAGCAAACAGTGGTATATCTACCACTTCAGAATTTCAGTTACAAGGACAAACAACTCCTAAATGCCCTTTAGTCACTGTGAGTTGCAAAAAAAAAAAAAAAATCCCAGACAGTACCTTATCAACCTCCCAACTGTCATCCTTTCTCCAAAGGCCAGGTCAATTATCCTATCTGTGTTGTTACACTGGTTCATCCAGCCAGTACACCCCACACCCCTGGATACCAGCAGACCGTGACATACTGGCTCTTGGTCTCACTGGAGACACACCCAGCTGGTCAGGCTTGGTGCTCCGCACACAGCTCCTTCTCCCTCCCATTCTGAGACACTAACAAAGTCAAACTCTCACACCCCAGAAGATCAGCCTAGCTCAGTGCTCAACACTGAATTTCCCAAGAGCACATGAAGAAAAAAAAAGTAGATTATAGGACACTTCAGATTTTAATGAACCCACTTCTGGGAACCAGCTGGAATGTGACCTGCTGAATGATGGGAGAGAGAAGGTAGGTCTTCATCTCACCTGGGAGGAGGAGGAAGGATAGGTCCACCTAACGTGGAGTTCTGTGGACCTGCACTGTTGTAGGTCCTGGGACTGCCTGGGATCCTGGGAAGCCAAAGGACACAGCAAGAGGGACTGTGCCTGCCATCCCTCAGCACCCAAAACTATAGAAGGTCATTTCTGAGGTGGTGTGACATAGCCACAATCTCCACACACTGGGGAAACAAATCCCATCTTTACTGCTGTTTTCTCGTGAAGTTAAGCCACTTTATCTTTGGCCAACCCATGCTCATTACACATCCATTACTGTCAGATCCCTTCCTACCTGGAGGGCTGGAGGAGGGTAATACAGAGTATTACTCCAGTATTATTCTGGAGTAATACAGAGATGGAAAGATGAGCACTCACTAGACACCAGTGGGGTCATGGGCCCCAAGAGGGAAGTAAAACCTGGCAAGAATTTGCTACAGACATACAAGGTACTCTGGGAAAAGGAAGAAAGAGGATCTAGCCCATGGGTGTAAACAGAGGAGGGGCTGCAGAATTGGGGAGGAAGGAGACCAGGGCCAGACCCCATCCTCTGAGATCAATGGATCACAATCACTCAGAGATGAAGATAGATCAAAGGACTGAGCGTGTGTGATATGCAGGAGGCTCAGGCTCCCTCCCTGGCATTGATTGGTCCCCCAAAACCACTGGGAGTGAGCCCCAAGCAACAAAGTATCTGCTGAGCACCTCTGGGTGTGGCCCATAAGCCCATAAAGTTACAAAATACACCCAATTCACAGTGCTCCACCCAGAGCAGGCAAGCACAATACCTGCCCTTGTGAATAGGAGCTTCCGCAAACCAGCCTGAGAGAGGTGGGCAGGGATTCCTGACCTTTGCCTTGAAGACGTCCGGGAGAGCCAGTCTGAAGAGGGGTGCGTCTCCCCAGTTACCATTATGCCTCAGAAAAGGGAACTTCACTAGTACGTGGAAATGCACTTGAAGGTGCTCCAGGGAACAGCAGGAAGAGGAACCCTTACCCTCTTCAGTCCATGGGTCCTCCTGAGTACCAAATTATTACCCCAACAAAATGCATCCCCTGGCACTTGCTACAATGCCCAGCGCCTCTCCTGCCTCAAGCAAACACTGGAAAAATCCACAGAGGATGGAGCAAAACCCCCGCATCCTGCATCAGCTGCTGGGCTGAGCTCCGGCTCTGTTGCCACTGGAGAAACAATAGTCCTTTGTGGGGTCACATTCTCCATTGTCTCCCCAGCTGGCCCACATGGCTCCTTCTAAAAATAGCACAAGCCAGGCAGTGCCCCCACCAGCCCGGGGGCACCAGGGTTCAAATCCAAGCTGGGCCCTTCCTCGCCCCTCAGAGCCCCCAGGTTCCTCTACTCTGGCTCCTCCAGTGAGGGGGTCAGCAGGCAGGGCAGGGGGACAGGCGGGAGTGAAGAGCAGGGGACTCTGGTCGCAGGGGAGTAGATGGTCCGGTCTAAGGTGATTTAATGTGGTGTCAGGGCAGTACTTGGGGAAGCTATGGGACTCTCAGGCCCAGCTGGGACCCAAGATGTCCCTGGCAGACCCCTTGGGAAAGAGAGGGTGATGGCGGTAAATACTAACTCACCTACATAAAACCCTCAAAAGTCTGAATCAGACTCTAAGTGTTCAAAAAGAAAAGACTGCCCTTATACCTCTGCCTGCTCACAGACAGGGCTCAGGGCCTGCCCCCAGAACCCCTTCCGCTCCCAGTGAGGACTCAGTATCTGTTGGAGCAAAGCCTCCCAAGATATTAATGATTTTTTTTGGGGGGGAGGTCATACCCAACAATGCACAGGGGTTACTCCTGGCTCTGCACTCAGGAATTACTCCTGGCAGTGCTCGGGGGACCATATGGGATGCTGGGAATCGAACCCGAGTCGGCCGTGTGCAAGGCAAACCACTTTATCTACTGTGCTATCACTCCATCCCCTGGAATGATTTCTTGAGAAAGTCCATAGTCCTGAGGGGTTCAGAATCTACTCTGCCGTCTGATGGGCTGTGAGTCTCCCTGTTCCCCACAATCAGTGTGTCATCTCCCAAGATGGCAGCGGCCTCCTGGAGCACAAATACCTCACACTCACAAGCACCCTTCCCCCCGCCAGGAATACTGTGACAGCCTAGAGCAGGAGCCATAGTACAGCGAAGAGGGTACTTAGGGCACTTGTGTTGGGCCACACTGGCTGTGTACTCAGGGCTTACTCCTAGCTCTGTGCTCAGGGATCACTCCTGGAGAGGTTTGGGAAACCCTATGCAGTCCCAAGACTCAAACTCGGGTCATCTGCATGAAAAATGAGTACCCTACCTGCTGTGCTCTCTCTCCACCCATGTAGATTAATTTTTATCAGCCCAGTCTCTCCAAGGACCAGAGCTTCATGGGTGTCTAAAAGACATGGAGAAGAGCCAGCACCTGCCTTTCCCATTCACCCTAAACCCACCCCACCCCACCCCAACTCCCAGGTGCCTTAGCAGGTGTGACTGGTCAGAGAGGCTCAGCAGAGGCTAGGATACTTCCTGCCAGAACGTACCCATGTTCTGCATCCCTCCTTCTCTTCCTTATAGCACCTGCTGCAATGACAAATAACTCTCCCAACTGCCGCCCCAACCCGCCTGCCAGTTCCCAGAGGGAAAGGCTGGCTCTGTGCAGACAAGGTCTGGCCCAGTGGATTCACGCTGAGATTTATAGTCTGCACCACCTGAAAGGCAACAGGGAGTTGTAACCACACCAACTGCTAAGTAATCTTGCAAGATTTCATCTCCTTGGCTGCTGATTCTGGCTCCAGAGCTCAACTATGGTAAACTCCTTGGTTTGGTCTCACAAACACTCAGCTCCCTTCCTTCAGGTGGAATTCCCACCAGTGAGCCTGACCAAACTTGTTCCTTCCCAGTCTCCCTGGTAGCCAAGACAGGTCCGCAGATTTAGTTCCACAGTCTGAGATGTCTGCAGAACTTGCTGGAGCTTTGACAATGTTTTGGGTTGTTTTTTTTTTAAAGTCAACACAGGGTTGGAGTGATAGTATAGTGGGGAGGGTGTTTGCCTTGCATGCAGCTGACCCAGGTTCGATTCCCATCACCCCATATGGACCCCCAAGCACCGCCAGGAGTAACTCCTGAGTGCAAAGCCAGGAGTAACGCTGTGCATCACCAGGTATGACCCAAAAAAAGAAAGAAAAAAAGACCTAGGTCACACTAG